CAGATTTCGGGATGAAATATAACCCAGCCATATTCTTAATACATTTTAAGAGACCTGAGGAGGAGCAACCAAACCGCAACAAACAAAAACCATCACATTTTATCGTAAGTACCATAATAACCCCAGTAATGCCTACAAAATTAAGTGAAGCTCCCTATTATAGTGAGCTTGATGTATGTTCATTTTAAAACTCAATAGTACAAAGCAAGAACTTAAAAACGGCAGTGAAACAAAACCCGACATTCTCCAGTTTGTGTTTTGTAGGATATTATTGCAGTATCTGGAGAGAGTAAGGCTCATCCATCCTAATGCCCATGGCTAAGTAAACACAAGAGTTTGGAGACTCAACCATCTGTACGTTTTAACAGGAGGCGTCCTTAGAGGCAAAACACCTTTAATCTTCATATGTAGCCTGCACTAACACTACAATCTGTAAACTGCAACATTGCATCCTATTAGAAACTTCAAGGACTGAACATTGCACTTCACGTGGAGATGAGAAAACATCGTTCATGTGGTGATCTGAACAGTTTGGAGAATTGGGAAAACACAGAATGCCCACAGTTACTGAACATGCTGAAACTGGATATTTTTTTCAGCTCTGAACCACTGAGAAAAACAATGTGACTAGACGAGCTAGTTCATGTTTTTAAAGCCATAAATAGCGAGGGACACAAATTTCTAGGAAAGCTTCATCAATGCAATGGCATTGATGTGAATCCTCCTGTTCATCTTGAAAATAATGTGATAGTAATTGACATGGGGGCTCGTCCGGGATGTGTAAAGTTTCTCCTACAAGGTTGCAAGGGAAAACAGCTAAATAAAGACACATGAATCAAGCGCTAGACTCGCGATGGAAACAGATCTACCATTTTTCATCTTTGCCTTCTCAATTTGTCTGACGAGAGAGACACCCCATCTACTTTGTTCCTTATTCTAAATTAAGACAAATGGAACATAACCGGTATGGCGTGTATAATTTATCTCGAAGAGCAGATGAATCTCGTTTGTGATAGATGAGCAGTAAATGAAAAAAAAAAACGTGGCATCTCTTCTTGATCTCCAGCCGTCAGGGGTTTTTAAAGGCAATGCCCCGCAATGCCATCGAGGGAGCTTCAGATCCTCAAAAGCAAAAGGGTTTTATGAAGAGTGCTCTGCCCGAAAGGTCACTTGCTGGAGGGTTCACATTCTTTGATGGTAATGAGGGGTCTTACTGAAGAGGATCCTTTGAAAAAAAAAGTAAAAAATAAAAATTTGTTTATATATTTTTATATATTTATTTTTTACATTTTATGAATGTAAAATTTTAGTATGAAAGTTGAGGAATCATGATTTGTTCATGAAAACACCAATATCGGAGTATGCACTGTTAGGGAACGAGACCACTTATTTAGCGCTGATTGGAAATTTATCTGCAAAATAATTTATAAAAGACCACAAAAAAAATGCTGATTTTGCTGTACACTGCAATAATAATAATAAACATTCCTGTGTAGAAGTTAAATTTACTTATAAAAAAAAAAGAAAAAAAAAACTGATTATACACAATTTTGCATAACCACATTGGTAAATGACATTTTTTTTTGTTTTAGTTTCAAGTAATTCCAAAATAAATTCCAAATAAAATTCCAAAATAATTCCCAAAAAATTCCATTAAAAAAATAATCTTTGCTCCTTTGAAAAAACAAAATATAAACATGTGCATAGAAAAGGATTTATGCGCAAGACGACAATTGAAATGGTGCTAACCCCACAATTTTTTGCTTTTAAAGAAAAAAAAAAAACTGCACATTTATGCTTTCAAACTCATTTGGGATGTTTCGCAACAGACTACCACTGTCAGTATTGTATATGTTTTTGTTGCAAACTTAGCAACAAGTCAAATTATTTTCAGCATTAATCAACAGTACATCACAGAACCTGCCCCAGAACCTATATATCTTACTTGTTTGAACTGGGAACATTCTTTTAATCCCAAATCATGAATATCATGGTTACCGGGCTCGTATACAGTGTAATATGCATGAACATCTAATGCACATCGGAAGTCAGATCGCAGAGAACTTACGCAAAACTCTCAATCATGAATTATCAAAAAACCCACACACATTCCCGGTGAGAACACTTTTTAATACAAGATTCAAACAGACAGTGTCTGGTGGCATAGATTAACCAACGCTGTTTAACATGAAAGAGAATGAGTAAAGTGTTTTTCGTCATGACGTTGGCGCTGTATTCTTTGCTAGGTTGCACTTCTTCACAACAGCTGACCTCGAAGGTGTCTCGCTCAACACATCACTGCCATTTCTAACACCTGGACCCAAGGTCAACCTCAGCACCTTTAGAAATGCATTGCTTAAATGTTCAATCTTTTGTCAACTCAGTTTGTCTTTGAAACACAGCTTGCAAATTTTGTAACATTGTTAAAACTTGGACAAAATGTTAAAAAAACAAACATAAAAATGAAAAGAAAGAAACTCATATACAGACAAAAAGAAACAACTTGTACCATTTAACGAAACTTTTCATTCAGAAAAGCATAGTTTTCCCGCTTTAAGGATTCGTTATATTCGTACAGTAAGTATAAACTAATCAAATTGTTTTATGAAGGCTGAAATGATTTGACAAATAAAAACATCTATAGACATCAAGGCTGTGCAGAAGAATACAAATAATATTGTAAGACATTAAACTCATATTTCGCTCAGGGTTTGTGAAAATAACCATATAGTTTGGATATAATATAATAATATAATACTCTGGTGGAGGATGTACTAATATTCTACACAGACTTACAAAACTGAGTTTTAACTCTATAGGAAAAAAACATTCTTAAAAGGGACGGAGGGGAAACTATCATACTGTTACTTGTTCATCATTGCTTTTATTCTAAACTGAAGGAAAAAAATAAAAAGAAATGATAAAAAAAATAAAAAGCCAACATGAACTAAAGCAGCAGACTCAACAGGAGCAAACAACAGCCATTTTGTAATCTGCATCTTTGGTTTTTCCACCTAAAATATTTATTCAGAGTTGTGCTGATGAGAAAGCAGTAGCTTTACTGAGACCGACTCATTGCTACATAAACGATGTATAAATAACGTATTGTAACACCGAAACAAAAGAATCCATTAGAAAAGGCCACAAAAAAGACAATATTACGCATTTTGTTGCTGATTTTGCTGTACACTGCAAAAACAAAAACAAAAACATTATCTCTGTAAAAACATGATAAATTTACTTGCAAAGCAAAATTGTGTATGATAATAAATAGCCGTTTCACATACCCCATTGGCAAACTGCTATTGTTTTTGCTCCTAGTATAAATCTAACAAATTCAGTTTTAGGTTAAAACAAAGAATACTAATTCACAACTTTTCTTCTTTGAAAAAATCCTGAAAATTATTTTGCAGTTTATCAATGCCGTTCCGTGATGAAGTGCATTTTGCAGTGTTTTTGTACCTCAATCCTACTGCACCTTTGAAAGACCAACACATTTCCATCTTCAACCTGCTGGTAACATACAAATGGAACACCAAATCAAACCTCCATGGATTTTGGTTTACTGGTAAATCTATAAAGGCTAAATGGAAGCATTAAAAAACAAGTTATGGTTACACCCAAAAACACATCCATACATAACCTCCTACGTGGCAAAACAATTCAGTCATCTGGGGTTTGTCAGACTTGAGGTGGTATCACACAGATCTTGCACGCTACTCGCTGGCCAGCCATGACTACACCACACCTTCATTATTGCAAATGTCACTTTTTGAATTCAAACCTTAAAACAAATGAGCGTAAAACACAACACACATGCGCTGCAATAGCCAAACCGTATTATCCTTGAGGATGTGATGTAACCATGCAAAGATGAATGATGTCAAACTGACATTTCCCACAAAATCTGACCTGACAGCTTGAATTATAAATCATTATTGTGCATTGGAACAAGTAGTTTGGAAAAGTTTTTTATGTACTTGTGCAATAAATGATCTTAAAACAAAAAAAAAAAAAAAAAAAAAAAAAAAACACTATTACAAAGGACACTTTCCTCCGACAACAGTCTTTTCACCTTTTCTATTTTGTTAAATAAGCTGAAAGCAAACTTAAAAGAAAGCCACCTAAGAAAAAAGACAGATGAGGGAAAGCTATATAATGAATCAATTACCAAGACTAAAGTTTTACAAACTGCAGTACACTATAGATTTATTGTTCTTAAACAATTTGAGGCTGTATCAAAAACTTTGTAAAAAAATTATTGTGATTTTATCAATCTTTTTTTTTCTTGAATTTTCTGAGAAAAAGGAAGAAACAAAGAAACTACAAATCATCTGAAACCAGAGCTTGTTCTGATTAAATCAAGTCTTTGAAATTGAGCAATGTGTCTCAATGACTGTCAGTAGCTTGAGTCTATCTGGTGAAACAGTATATTGGTGGTTTTGACTTGAGGGTGCTGAACATTGTTCCTTCTGTTTTATGAGAGAATTAAGGATGCAAAGATCCCGTCAACCTGTACAACCAATTAAATCACAAGATTTCTTCATGGCCTGTGGGAAATATGATTAAGTGAAATCAATACCGAGCTCCGGCTTGTCAGGTCATCTAGCACATATCTCAAGTCAGAACACACACTGTGACATGTTCACTCAGTGATTTAATATATATTTTTTAGCAGTTTTTCATAATTGAGGGGTGGAAAATGGTGTTTATCTCAGTGTAATACTTATAAAAAAAAAAATAAAAAATACAACAAAAATTTAAGATGATATAACATAACTTTCAAATATACAGTGGATTAAACAGATCTTTCGTTTTTGCTACCTCTTCTTGTAGTGATTTAACTAGACATGTGAATAACAATAAAAACAGTTTAATTTTGTGTTAAAAGGCAAAATCATAATGAATCGACATCCCACGGAACTGTCTGCATGGCTGTTCAAGTCCCTCAAGGCCATTCTTTTATTCCCCTTCTGTTATTGAATTTCTCTATGAAACCCTTTTGCACCTGCAGTCAGCTTTATTGTCCGCTTATATTATTCAAGATTAACAAATTCAGAAGATAGAAAGAGTGCTGTTAGGCAAGGTGTTTGATTCTGAGTCAGAAAAAAGTTAAACAAAAAACAAACAAAAAAAAATCAAAACAAAACCAATAATTAGTCAAAAAGCCCATCTAGACACAAAAGCGCCAGGACTGGAGGATATATCCCCAACAGTTTAACAATAACCAGAGTAGTCAGAGGCTGAGGTTGTTTTTGCTGTCCTTTGCAGACTATCCACTTGCCCCACCCTCCCACATCTCCTTAAGAGTCCAGTTTAACAAAATATTCCCATCACATTCGAACCCAAAACCCCCATTTGCAGCACCCCTCCCCCTTCTAAAAATCCCATAATGCAAAGAAACAACACACTGGTGTGGAACTCCAAAAGTTCCCCATCCTCCTGCTCCGGAGGTTTCTGCAAACATTAGGGTGGCACGTAAGGAGGTGGAGATCTGTACGGGGTCATGTTCTTAGGACGGGATCCTTTCCCCTCCATTGGGGTAGAGAAAGGTGGTGGTGGCAGGTAGGGAGGAGCATTAGGATCCTCGTCGTGTAGAGGTGTGTACTCTCCCAAAAGATCCTGGTTTAGAGGTGTTGTCTCTGGACTAGCCATGTTAGGATACTCTGGTGGAGGAAGCGGGGGCTTTTCCTCTTGAAGGATAAGAGGCATGCTGGAAGATGGGGGTGGCTTAGAGTCATCAAGCTCATCCGCAAAAATAATGGGCACTCCTTTCTTGATGAAAGTTGCTTGGTCTTCGATAGTCAGCTTACCCTTCCGCTTCTTGCGATAGCAGATCATGGCAATGATTCCAGCTATCAGCAAAATAGCTGCAACCACCACTGCTGGTATGACGGTGTGAAGATACACATCATCATTGCTCTGTCTTCCCGCGCCTACAGCGGGAGTAACAGGAGAGGTGGTCGGATCTGGGATCTCACCTAACCGGACAAACATGTAGTTGCGACAGCTTGCCGTGCCTCTGACGGTGATATTTAAGGCCCTGAAGTCTGGTTCCATAACATGCATGAATTGTTGAGAGGGTCTACCCTCATTATTAGAGATTTTTCTGCTCAACTGTTGTATTTGCTCTTTTGGGCAGGGGCTTTGCTGAAGGCTGTTGTTGGTCCATTCCACTATGATAGAGCCCTTCATTATGTTCTTCAGTGTAACAGTGCTACTGTTGCGATCACCGAAAGACTGGGCCAGTTTCTTGACAAGAAGGATCTTCTTGTGAATATCATTGGTGACTGTACGTGCATCCCCTTCAAACACAGCAGTAAACAACACCGGTGTCTTAACACTGTTTCCCCATCGATTGACACGGACCTCAAAGGCATCTATTGCATAGAGACCTCCTTTGTCAGTTGCCTGCATGAAATACTCATGTTTTCCTTCATGCTCCTGGTCTGGTAATCCATAGAGCAGCTGGCTTGTGCTATTGAACTGTATCCAGGAATCATCTCCAACCACATCACTGCCTTTGCGCAAAGTAAGTCTCAACTTATCGGTAGTTCCATCCTCTTTGTCGAAAAACGTATCAGATGGAACCTTCACCTCAAAGTAGGTGCCAACATAGGCATTCACCTGATCAATTGGGTTACGCAGCTGAGGTTTTATATTGCCATCAATCGGGATAACAGGGGGTGTGGTGCGCCTTGGTGGATTTGTTGTGGTGGTCTTGGGTTCTCTTGGTATTGGGGTTGTCTTGGGTTTCTTTCCAGGTCTTTTTGTCGGTTTCCTGGTGGTGGGTGTTGCTGGGGTCACAGAGGCTCCAACATATACAGGCCTGGTCATGGTGGGCTGGATGGTGATAGTGCTGGTGGTGTCCATAACTCGTGTTGGCTGTGGGGGGCCTAAGGTTGGAGTGTAGGCAATGGGATCTCGGTTTCGAATGGTAGGTTTCATAGGAAGTGGCACAGGACCACGAACAGGTGGGGCAGAACTGTCCGAGGTAGGAGCAATAGAAGGAGAGGTCGGTGTGGGAACAATACGGATGGGGGGCTCAGGGTAAGTTGTTGGGGGGAGTAATGAGGGAATGGGAGGGGGGGTGTTGTTGAGCTGCCTTCGCACCCTTTTGGGTACATGGGGCTTTTTGTTAGCAATATGCCATCCAACGACTGGATATCCCAACTGTGCAGACATGGTTCCTTCTTTTGCTGGAACCTGAACACTACTGATATCAGGAATGCTGCTCTGATCCAGACTGCAGCCAAGTTTCCAGGACAGAAGGGCTCCGTTTTCAACCACCTTCTTGGCATTTCCTGGTCCTGCCATGAAAGCAGACATGTCAAACAAACGGTTGTTGACCACAGGCAAAACCTTCATGTGCTGAAGCCCCATGCCAGAAAACTTTTTCATGTTGGCAAGTAGTTCCACCCTCTGCTTCGAGCTCATCTTTGTGAGGTCAGCATCCAGAATGACGGTAAGCACAGTAACAGGCTCCTCATTGCCACAGATGAAAGGTTGGGCATCATTGCTGGCTGACTGCTGAATTGCAAGCTGAAAAGGATCTGTGTCAGCATGATCTTCTGGGTGCACCTCAATGGAGAACACATCTGGGCTTTGGGAGACTTGGCTCTCATTGGAAACAGAAACAGATATGTAGTGAACACCCTTGTCTGTCTCTAGAGGAAGGCCTTGAAGTGTGCCAGTCTCTGCATCCCAATGCAACCATGCTGGGAGCACATCCTTGCTTGCTTCTGTGATCTGTAAAACGGGAGGAGAAATAACGATTACTGCAACTGAATGACTCACATCTGAAATGTAACAAGACAAATGAGCTTACAGCGATGCCAGATATGCACTGCTAAGTCAAACACTTAAAACCTGAAAGTAAATCCCACTTTATAATGTGACTAATATCCATTCACATGGATCAAAGTTGTCTATGATACATAATTTGTAGTTTTTGTATTCAGTATTTCCTGGTTGTGAGCACAAAGTCAGTATGTTGAAATTCAGTAAGACAGGAGGAGTAAAGACTATAATGAATGAGTGCTCTCAGAGTGGCATAGAGCTCCCTGCGGCATGAGATACTCCACCAGCTGGAGATCCGTTCAATGAGCGCTCAGTCAAAAATAACCAATAATGAATCAATGGCATTGAGATGATACATTAACACAAACAAGCCTCTTTGCAAATACAAAACTACATCCTTTGCTTTCAGACCCTTAATTTGATTGTTAATAAATCCTGGTAATAATCCATACATTATGTAGAGCCAGTGCTCATGGATTGAAACTCAAACCAGTGCACAGCAGTCACTAAGGGAGTCCAGCAGCTGGGCTTTTTATTTCAATTGACAGGCTTCAAAGGTTTTGACACAAAAATACACCACTACCACACCCCTCTTCTGCCTTTTGCAATCTTGCTTTTGAATGTTTCCATCAACCAGTCAGAGCATGTGTGCGAGTTTGATTGTGAACCTATTTGACCACTTAGAGAGACATTAATAATTCAGGTGGAAGTCTAATTATAAGCTGATCTATAGTCTTGTTGATTGATAGTGTGCTTGAAACATCAACACTGCTTCACTTCAAATGGTACATGGCTTGCACAGAACAGTTGTATTTTAAGGGTTAGAGCATGCAAAATGACAATTATGTTATTTACACAGCCGAAGCTCTCAAATCTCATTTGCGTCCACATATATTTAAATATGGCACCTTAAGAGAGGCCATAACCTGTAAAGTGAAATGGCAGTTTACTTCCTCTCACTAAGCTATTTTATCACTTAGGAAAAGCTGGAATGTAGCATGGTCTACTTTTATGGTGCTTTTTTTTCCTGTCCTGATGTCCATTGTATGGAAAAAGTGCAGCATGAACATACTGTTAAACATCTCTTTTTGTGTTCCACAAATGAAAGTCAAACCAATCTGGAATGACATTAGAGAGTAAAAAAAAAGGGAAGAGTTTATTTTTTTGTGGTGAACAATTCCTTTAAAACACACAGAAATGGGCCATAGCTATCAATTACAGAATGTGTCAAACAACTATCAATTCTGGAATCATCCTTCAATTAGAGAATTGATTCTGCACTGCCAATGAATCTATACTTACGTTTCGCCTCATTATCTGTAAAAATCACAGCAACATCTAATAGATATACAGCATTGGCAAAAAATACCTTACGTATTCTGTTTATAGTCAAACTGATATCATCCCTGCAATGAAACATGGCATGTGTTTACTTCTGGGGCCTTTTCAGACCTTGCTTTAGAACAAAATGGAAGGTTAAGGCATGTCTTCAATGCTGCCTTCTGAAACTAGAGCATCAGTGGCAAAACACACAGCCACACACACTGACATTCAGGGAGCCACATAGTTTCCATAGTGATGATTCATGCAACCCACACTAAAGACAGTATAACTTCTGCCAAAGGCATGTTTCTCTTGACTTAAATGAAGAAAGCAAGGAAAGGCAGAAACGAGTGCAGAGAGAATGTCAACAAGAATATTAGCGAGTTGTTTTTTCTTTCATATTTCAGTTGCTGTGGCAAGCCTGTCGGAATGCTTCTGAATGGCACATGTAGAATGGGAAAGAAAAACACGGTTCCAAAAAAAAAAAAAAAATAAAAAAAATTAATTCTCCAGATCCCACAGAGACAAAACCAAGGGACCAAAAAAGGACCTAAAAAATAAAATTCTGTCATCATTTACTCACTCTCATTTTGTTTCAAACCTTTTTCAAAAAGAAATGCCATGTTAGGCAAAATGACTCAGTCACATTTCACTTTCACTGAATCTTTTTCCATACAAGGAATGTGAAAATGCTAAGCCTTTAAACCTGTTGTGTTGTGTGTTAAATTTGACAGCAAACTTTGATTTAGTTTTAGTCATAGTCTTTTGACGAAAATGTCATTTAGTTTTAGTCATATTTTAGTAATCTGAATTGTTTTAGTTTTAGTTGACTAAATATCATACAATTTAAAAATTTAAAGGGTTTAGTTAAATTGTAATGCATTATTATTTTTTTATTTCTGTTTTGTTTATTCATAGATCATATTATATCAAATTAAAGGCACAATATGTAAGATTTTTTTATTAAAATATCCAAAAACCACTAGAACAGTTTCATATATTTTGCTGACTTGTGTACTTACATTATCCCAAATGTTTCGAAGAATGTTTAAATCCAGAGAAATAAGCAATTTTAACTAGTGACACGGACCGTGTGCATAGTGTCATTGTGTCGCCTGCCAATGACGTCATAACCCCTCGATTTCCGGTTTTGAACATGGAAACCCCAAAGACGCTTTAATATGTTGTGCGTTTTAATAGACCGATGACGACCGCACAGAGTAGCATTATAACAGAACTTTCAAATGTATCTACTATAATAAAACAGCGTTGCTTACTTCTGCTGCTTTCCGGAAGGAGCGGAAGCGGTCGACTGTGGCATAATAAAAGCTCCGCTGCTTTCGAGCCGTGTGTCGCGCTCGTTCAGCGCCTCGTTTTGCTTCGACGGCTTTCAGTCTCACCCTGCTTCATTCTACTACGTTAATAAATCATTAGCTCATCCATGAACATGATTTCTGCCCGAGTCCCGTCGCTTTCCGCCTCACCCTGCTTCATACTACGACGTTAATAAATCTTTAATACATTAGCTCATCCATTAACATGATTTCTGACGGAGTCCCATCGGATTGCATCGGCTGTGGAGATGAAGATGACAACTCCCATGATTCCACACTCAGTTACGGCAACATCAAACTACGCCTTTGTTTGTTTTGAATACGCACCCTCCAGTGGCAAAAAATGACATATTGTGCCTTTAAGCTAAAGCTTATAAACTAAATGAAATAAAATACGTTTTTTTAATATATGTATTTTAGATATTTATTTCCGTTTTTATAGATTTGTTTTATAATTTCAGTTAACATTTATTTTATTTCAATTAATTAACTATATTTTATGGTTTTAGTTTTAACTATAAAAACCTGATGCTAGTAAAATGTATTTATTAAATAATATTTTGAATAATGTTCTTAGGCTGTCCATCCTGTGATGGGGAATCCCAGACAGAAGCTACAATTGTTGTTAATTAAATGGAAAATTAAATTAAATACAGTTTAAGTACCCAAAATATCAACAATGACCATGAAAAAAAAGCTTCAAATACAGTGTGACTCTTATTTTGAAATTTCTGCACTGTGGACTGTACAGTTGCAGGCTGCTCATTCAAGTTCAGATGAGGGAAATAAAATATGCATTCTTACAACAGTCTAAAACATATTACCATATAACTACTGTATAGTAAACATTGTCATAATTCATCAACATTAGTTCATAAGCAATCACTTAGCATTAATGTGCGCTATTCATTGATTACAACCCACACTGAAGCAGTCAGAAGCGCTGCTGCGCGAGTCTGTAGAGCGCGCCACAGCGCCGCGTTTTCCCGCGGTTAGATCACGACGGTACAAATACAATGCAAATGTACTTACTGTAACTACCACATAAGACATCAGTCCTGACTGAGTCTGACTGGATTATCTTCCCAAATCGTCCTTCCCTAACATTTTCGTCTTGTTTTTATTCGTTGACGAAAATGAGCATATTTTCATTTTAGTTTTTGTCAATAAAAACTGGTTTTTATTTAGTTATCGTCTCGCTTTCGTCGGTGAGAAAATATGAATAAATGAACACTGGTTGTGCTCCACAGGAGAAATAAAGTCAAGCAGGTGTGAAGCAACATAAAAGTGGGTAGATGACACAATTTTCATTTTGGACGAGCTATCTCTTTAACAACCCTAAGAACCTCTGTGATAGGGTTGTAATAACAAAATCTAAAAAGGCCTGACGAGAAGAATAAACTTTTCCCCACTGAAATGAAGGATGAATCGAAACTCCCTTCGTTGTGGGTCGAATAAAGCCGCCCATTGTTAGGGCACGCTTACGGGGGAGTCTGCAGGCAGAAAAGATCCCATTGTTGGGATATGAAGACAGCTGAAAAGTTACGATTCATAGTTCTGAACGAGTAGGCTCAGGCATGTCTCTGTGATATTAAGGGGAGGCGGTGGGGTAACCGGCTTGGAACATTTGAAGAGGGAGAGCCTTTTAGTTTGACCAAGCAGATGTTTACAAGAAATTACGAACCCATTTTCTTTGGTTAAAAATTCATGCAACTCCACTCATCTTGGTCTCTGAGTACATTTGCACATGCTTCTTTAAATAAAGACCCATCACATTTTGAGGAGCGAAGTATTTGCACTTCTAATTTCGAGACAGAATGACAACAGAGTGATCTTTGAAAATAACCCACTCTTACCTATGGGAAAACGTTAGGCCTTTTTCAGCAGACTGTGGAACATGATCCATTTTTATGATGAAAATTACAAATGAAATGTGGTGTGTTCAGGTCACTTGAGAGAGGTATTTACAAAATGTGCAACTGAGCTGCCCGTCTAACAGAAATCAAAACAGGAGTCTATTTCTTCAACCTTCATCTAGGTAAGTGAAAGTTATCAAATGAATGACAATTCTGTTTGCTGACATTTGTCAGACAGGGAAAGAAAAGGAAACAGAATAAAGGCTCACCGGGAGAGCTGCTGTTTGTTTATAATAAAACTTTAAATTGCTATTCGGTGAGGAGGGAATGTCAGCTTTTGAGCCATGCTGTGAAACAAGCATGAACAAAGGAGAAAACCGTAAGCGTGAAGAGGAAAAAAAGAAGTGCAGTGAAGATAAAACTCATGAATGGCAAG